TTGTGACACATTTGCTAACAGACCAACTGGGCTGACTCCATTACCAAAGTAATAAAGATCTCACACAATGAATAGCACTCAGTGTGTTATGAAGGACTCAGGTAAACCCACATCAAAATCAAACACATTTTTTGTAAATTTGACAGAATTATGGTCCCTTTTGTGTTTTCCAAATCTCATTTGGCTTTGGCAACCATCTTGAATCAGTTTGGCTTTGATTGTTAATCGAGAGGCACAGCCAATGTCTATTTCCTGAAAGTTTCATTAAAATCCATCTTGCGGTTCATGAGATATTTTGCTAAATGACAAACAAGGTGGTTAAATCCAACCGTTAATGCCAAAATTTTCAGCAAATATGTGCAATAAGCGCTCCGTGTATTTGTTGAGAATTACTATCAGCTGCTACTAAACCAAAGCATACGTCAATATCTGTAAAACTGACTGGATCGTAGCCAACTTTATGTTTGCTAAGGTCAGTGGCGGCCATCTTGACTTGGGTTGATCCCAGAAGTTAATGAGTTGTAGATGATAATCTAGTGTTTACGGTTTGCAAGTTTCATAAAGCACAACGTATACTCAGGCTTGATCAAAAATATTAATGCTCCTCTTTTGCCATTTGGCAGCAGTTGACAGTAAATAACACAATATTGTTTATTTGACTGGATTTTTTAAAACTTAATGCACACATGTCAACACTCAGATCTGTAAGCACGTATTGCTGGTTTGAGACGCTGCTCTCCTGTGATTTTAAACACTGGAACATGATCTGATCTAAAGACAAACATCTCAGGGCAGAACAAGTGGAAGTTTCAGGACGATCCTTCCTGTGTTTACATGTTTCACTGTGAAGTCCACCCTGGAGAGAGGCCCACGAGACAGACTAATTGTCCCGCAAAAGTACCTCTGATCCCCCTTTTTTTATGTCAGCAAAGTAAATTGGGTTGGAGGAAAAGTTGGGCGGGACGAGTTCACCAAGTAAGCTTGATATTCTGTACGACTTCATCTGCTTTAAACATTTAAACAGCTAGAGCAGCTTTATCATGCAGAAACAGTCAAGTTGAAAACTGGAGTGGTTTGCATGATCCTAACTCTATTATCTCATACTTCGGGTCAGTTTGTTCTGATTTGCATCTTTTGTGAGTTTTTGGCTTGAAAAGATGAACTCCAGTGACAATGTGTTAATGGATTGATAAACGATAGTAAGTAAAAGTAGGTACATTGAGATTTTTGTCCCCCATCGCAGAGTGAAGAGGAGGACTTGGAAATAGCCTCATTCCATCCATCTGCCCATCTGTCCACCTGTGCATGTTGTGAGCATGATAAATGGAAAAATAAGTCACTGATTTCCATTTTATTGTGTAGCTGCATGTAGTCGTAAAGAAGGTCTTTATCAAAAATTTAAGGCTGGTCATTGTGCCATAAATATATGGCTTTATAGCTGCCACCATAAATGTCCGTCCATGTTGTGAGCATAACTTGAAAAATAAGTGAGTGAGGTGTCAACGTCCATTTTGGTGTGTGGCAACATCTAGGCGTAAGAAAGGTCACAATTGAAAATTGGGTTGTCACATGCAAATCCAAGATGGCCATCACCGTCCAGATGTAAACTGACAACCTCTTGGATTTGAGGAAACTATGCTTTTTTGTTAAAAGTATAGTTTCCTCAAATGATTGTGGTGGCTCTTGGGGTGACCAAAGATTAATCTATCGTGGGCCAAGGCCACCATGGGCCACCCTCTGACTCCGCAGTTGTACCAAGATACAATTGCTCCCTCCACTCGCCAGGATCCGTCACTTTGAGCCGCCTCAGACAAACGACAAAAAAATAATTTTCTTCTTCTACACAGTGTAACTTTACCCACTTGAAATTCTTGCATCAAAAACATTAAGGTTTATTTGTATTCCCTGTTCAATTCCATTCCAGAAAAACTTATCACAAAAACAACTAACTTTCACTAATCAAAACCTTAAGTGACGGGGGACATCACCAACCTGCTTGTAAAATTAACTGTTCACCAATAACTTAAATGATCATTAATGCCTACTTCTGAAAGGCAAAGACGGATGATAATGTTTTTGGTGTGTGTTTGTGTGTGTATGTTACCAAAATATCTCATAAATCATTGGATGTATTTTATTGAAACGTTTAGAATGTCCTTCAAAACAAATTAACTTTTGGAATCAACCCAATTCGAGATCGCTGCCTTGGCTAATTAGTCTTAGCCAACTCAAAAATAGCTTTAACTCAGGCAACTTTACAGATATTGGGCTAATTCTGGTGTGGTAGTAGCTGAGAGTCATCCTGAACACATTCCCTGAGCACTAACACATCTCATACATTTCACAATATGAAGTGAGATTGTGTGTAATGTCACAATATTTTATTAAAACAGCTAAAACGCTTGCTCTAAAGGTCCTTCTCAGCATGAGATGATAATAGCTTGAATCTTTGACATGACAGGTGGCAAGTGATTTTCATTTCATCAGTGGATGCTAGGCCTTTAATTTAGCCTTTTTTGTTTGGTCAATGTTTCCTCAGGACAATTACATGAAATATTACAAAAACTTAATGAAAAATCAAATTTGTAGACGATATAGAAAAAAGCAGAACCCAAGAAAGAACTCAATTCAAGCCTAAACAAAAGAGCAAAAGAACAAGGCCAGTAAGTTAGAGCAACATGTGAGACATCTGCTGTTGGGACTTTAAAAGCTGCTGGGTGAGATTTCAGATCCAGTTTCTCTTTTCAGCCTCAGCCAACTCCATTATTGTGAGAGAAAGTTGGCTCTGCTTTCCATGCAGAAAACAGCAGCCTCTGCAGGACAAAAGCTCAGCAGCAGCAACCAACAACCAGCTGCATGTCAGGAAAACCAGCACAAAACTTTGAGAAAGGATTAAAAAAAAAGTTTGCCTTCATAATCAAACACTTTGTCTGCATAATAAAGCCCAAAAACAATCACACAGTTTCAAACATTAAACTAGGAAACTTTAAAGTTTTTGGGAGGAGTTTGATCTTACCTTAGTTTAGCATATCCTGAGAAATCCAGTCCTCCTGACAGAGACCTCTTTGCTTAAATAAATAAAGAAAAACGACCTCGTGTACATTTAGAATAGACGTGCATCAGAAAGCTGAGGGCTGGCTGCCTTTCCTGCATAGTATCAGTGAGTTAGAAGGAGTGGAAAGGAGGAGAAAGGGGGAGAATGAGGAGTAAAAGCTGACGTAAACAGAGAAGTTCTAACGACCGAGAGGCCACGCTGGACAGACAGACGTGTGAGGGAGGGAACCCAGCGCAGGAAGTTGATAATAGTCGAGTTGTAATGGTGTCTCTGAGGAAAACGTATGTTCCAACACCCTCCATTTGTTTTCTTCCCTCCTTCTTTCTCCAGTAAAACACTTTAACTTGGATTCAGCAAAGTATATGGATATAAAACAGGCTGAGTTAAACATGACCAATCACTGCAGGTGTTAATATTTCATAAGTTACAGATATGTTACTCTACAAACACCAGATTCAGTGTACGATCATCTTGTGCTGAGTAATGATGGAGTTGTAGATGTTTCGCTCAAACGTTGAATTTACATCCAGTGAGTACTTTCTTGCAAGTTTTATTAAAATGTGTCCAGTGGATCATGAGATATTTTGGTACCAAAGACAAAAACATTATTATCCCCCTTCGCCTTTTGGTCGTAATAATAAATGGATCATATTGCAGGATGCGATTTATTAAACTTTTTAAACGTACATGAAAACTGAATATGGCAGAAAGATGAATTTAATAAGGGTGGTGCAGTTGGTAGAGCTGCCGCCTCTCAGCGAGAAGGTCGCCGGATCGAATCCTGGCCAGGGCCCTTTCTGGGTGGAGTTTGGAATTTTGGTGTTTCCGCTCGGAGAACAATATTCTCTCTCAGCTATAAAAAAATGTTCATAGCAAATATTTTCTAAGAGGGTGCCCCACCTCTTTAACAGTGACTGCTGGATATGGGCACCAGTGACTCTCGCGACCCGAAAAGAACTAAGTGGGTAAAGATAATGGATGGATGGATGAATCTTAACTTCTGTTTTAGTTTTACGACCACATGCACAACACATGTTTCTTTTAAACACAATGCAATGTATTATTAAGATTTTTGTATTTTTAATTTTATATGGGTAACAAAAGCATCAGTGATCTAATGCCATCAGAATATTTATCTTCAGTTTTCTACAAAGTGATTGTTGTACAGTTTTTTTTTTTCATCATATCTTTTTATTTTTATGAAGCAAACTGGAAATAAAATAAAGATATAAGACTGGGAGAGAGGCCACATGAGTTTGAGTTCATCCTCACAGAGACATGCTAACTTTGTGCAGCAGAGAATAGCTGTTCTGTAGCACAGCAGCTAAATTCCTCTCTGCTCCACCAGCCTCTCAGCTAACCCGAGTTGGTCTGCAGAGGCCCCTCTGTGCAGTAAAACCTAATAAATGATGATAAATTAATCTTTATTAATCTTTCATTAATCTTCCTACATCATTAGGAAACTTTCTTCTAAAGCATAGGTCTTCAACGTGCAGATCTGGTGCAACATCGGCACGTTTGCTTCAGACCCTCTGAAATGATACCTTGAAACTCATAAAACAACATGAACCGAAAGAAAACAGCAATTTTAGCAGTTTATTTGTTTTGCAATATGTGCATGAGCTTTCTGCAGCAGATTGACACTAATTATAAGGCCGGGCTGCCTGTATGAAATCATCCTATCAGTTTGTTATAATAAATGCACTGCAAGTTCACATCATTTTTGTCCCAGAATCTGCTGAAAATATCTCGTGATTTTTAAGTTTTGCAGCCTACCATTTATACTTGAACAAGTTGGATTATTTTGGGACCTTAAACAAAAATCTCCCAAGTTTGAAGAAGGCTGCAGCTACAAAAAGAACATGACTGTGAGATTACAACAAGAACCCAGCAGCGCTGCCAGTGTTGTGACTTAATGACAAAGTAAACTATGTAATGTACTCACAGTTCCCCTCTGCAGCCAGTCGATGAGAGCCTGAGCTGTTTCTGGAGGCAGCTGAGCTCTGAGGCCGTCTCTCTCCTCCTGGTTGGGCTGAAGCTCCAAAGCGAGTCTGAGGTCCTCAGCTAATTGGACCACCTGCATCGGACCAGTGCTGACTGGTGAACCCAGCTCATACATGCTGCTGGAAAACTCCATCGCTGCTGCTTTCGAACCTGATGGAACAATAAGAGATGAAAGTTGCTCACTTATTTAAAAAAAATGTAAAAGGTAAGTCTAAAATCCGAGAAAAATGTAATGCAGCTAAACTGTGGCAGGAATGAAAAGCAAATTTACAAGACACCAAAGAACAAAACTAACATTATAATCCATTCTCTAACTTCCCAAAATGCTTATGTGTCACCTGGATCATTGCCCATGCAACCCCTGAGGATATTGAATGTTATGAAATTATATGAAATATGGGTGCGGTTAGAGCTTCAGGAATCAAAGTCAGTGTCTGCTCCACTATTTATGCCCAGGAACTGTAAATGCTACAAAAAAATCAACAACAAACAGATTATTCTCCAACAAGACACTAACCCCAAAAACCTCTCTGGATTGTGAATGTAACAGGGCTAACATATCTGAACTCTGGTGATAAGTGACTCTAATTTGTTTGATAATGATAGACTGATTTGATCACTAATGGGGTTTTTAATGCATTTCTTTTTGCGGTAAGAGAGAGCGGAAACAGGGAGCTCAGAGCACTCAGCGTGGTTCTGTAAGACAGCAGCAGCTGAGGTAACTGAAAACTTGTGAATTTTGACATGGCAAAACAATTTTTGATATTTTCTGATGCCTAGGTGCAGATTTTGCACTAAAATGGAAGTCGGCACCTCATCTATTTTTCAAGTTATGCTCACAACATGGATGGATGGAAAGATGGTATTTCTGATTCCTCTTTTTCACCTGCGACATGTGTACAAAAATTACTTTTAACTCAACAATGTATTCAATCTTTCACCAGTGTAATACTTGAAAACAGTTGTTCCATAATCTTTTTATCTGTTGTTCCTAAAAAATATCTTTGAAAATACGGCACCATCTCTAGAACGATCTTTGTCCACACAAAAATGACCAAAATGATATAGCAACTACGTCAGGCCTGCATGTGGCTACCTCAAAAATACACCAAACACAGGAAACATGACATGGAACATGCGCATAAAGCAAACTTTAAACACAAGAAGAAGAGCACGACTAACATTGTGAGGCTGTGACATCAATGTTTTCAGAAAGTTAAGTTTTAACACATGAGTGGCGTTTCAAGAACTAGTTTTCAAAAAATATATACATTGTGGAGTTCCCAAATCATTGTTTCCCTGTGGATGGAAGGCTAAAGCATAAAAAATTGCATATTAACAAAAAAAAAAAAATGTACACAAGTTTAAAAAGTAAGAAGTAACAGAGAAGCTATGAGGCTGATTTGCATGCAAAAAAAACAACAAAAAAAAACAAAGCTGCAACAGTGAAGGAAATCAAGTTGAATAATTTATTTTTTGTTTCCCTGGGTAAACAAAAGTCTCAAATATTTAACTTTGGTACTTTGAGCATTGTGTCTCCATGTGGCCCTTTATCTCTTTCGGTGTTACTGAACAGTCACGTTCTTTAACATTAACATTAAACATTTACTGGACTGTTTGTCTAATCTTCCATATTCAAGGCTGAGAGGCTGCAGTTAACACAGTTCTATTCATACATCCAGACACAAATTAAACAACTGGAACAGTCCGTCAAAGTTTGATGTTTTTGTCTCTATAGAGATATTCTGTTCATAGTTGTTTGACTTTAAAATGTTTTTTTATTATTTGAAATTTTACAAATCATCAAGCTAATGGTTGAATTTGAATTATCTATAGACATTTATTCAAAATATTGCAGCTTTTGCAGTATTCACTTTTTCCAAGATAGCGAAACGTTTCAATAAAGCTGATCCAAATTTGGCCTCAGATCATGAACTAAAACACCAAAATGAACATAAAAATAAACTAACACATAAATTAACTTTACTGCACTGACAATATGCTGACTAAAATACAGTTAGAGGCCAACCAGACAATAAATAAAATTTAAAAATAGTTGCAATTCTAAATCAATAAGATGAAAAATACTTTGCACAAAACTACTAAATTCAAGAAAACTATTGCCTTATTCACAAAAATATTCTAAACATTGTTAATTCAATTGATGCAAAATGAAAAATGTAAACTGATGCCTCATTTATTTTGTTTGTTAATGAGAAAATGTTAACTGTAATTGGTTAATGTTAATCTGTTAACTTAACAGATTCTGACTGCAATTTGATTGTCAAGTTGTGTTTTTGTTAACATGAGTAAAACTGCATTAAAAAGTCACTAAATTATGTGCCAATTCTCTGTGCTTGGTCCTAAATGCATGAAAAAATGCAAATGAATGTGTTTAAGATCCTGTCCAAAGTTTTAGGTGATAGACAGTACAGGGCTTTGCTCCTTTTTTATATATCAATTTAAAGTAAATCAAATATTTTGAGTTTTTTGGCGTGTTAGACAAAACTCTGTGGTGTGTGGATTGACTTTTTTTTTTTCAGCTAAATGAAAAACAAACAAACTGAAGATATAATTTTATCTTACTTTCAAATCTTATCTGGACTGAAAATGTTCAATCTACTTGGAAGAAAATCATTAGATCATTTTAAACAACACAAGCATGCATTATTTAATTTATGACCTGCATTTTGCTTTCTGGAATCAGTGAAGAGCCTCCAAAATACATTTCCAAATTGATTTGAGATCCACTACAGCACATTTTATAACTAGACAGCAGACCTAAAGACACAGCTCCTCAGAACTGCATGTTTTCTCAGTGTTTCATCCTTGGATTGTTAAAAATGTGCTGCAGGATGGTGAAAGGATCTGACACAGGGCGGCAAACAGCCCCGAGAGTTCATCTGAACACAGATCCTGTTCTCCTGCCACACAGACAACACCTGCTGCAGGTGACTTCTACCTGCGATGATGTCGTCCATCTGCTCCAGAGCCGCCTCCAGCATGTGACTGGCCTCCGTTTCCATGGTGACGGCAGGAAGCATCAGACCTACAGTTTTCTGGTTTGGACACAAATAAAGAAAATGTTAAATATTGTCACACTTAAAACTGTTTTGAAGAGGGGTATATTAATCAGAAAACAGATTAACATTAGGTATTAAACAAACAAACAAACAAAAAACTAAATACAGGTGTTAATCCAACATTACATCAACTGTGTGAGAATTACTCTCCCATATATAGACAAGATGAAGCAGCAGTGAGGATGTGAACGCTCCAACAAACTGTAATAATAAGTATAATGCATATAATCATCTAAACATAACTAAAGCTATCTATTTTTTATCAGTCTTTTTTTTATTATTTTTTTTAAAACAAAAAGTAGTGCAACAACACAGGACTGTTTATGACTAATGTGTACTAGGACCAGAATATATTACATTTATGAGAATTCAGACATCATAGCTACGTGTTTCTCTAAAACTGACAAAAGAATCCAGAGGAATAAACAATATTTCACACCAAGGACAAAAGAGTTTTGCTGAATTAGAAAGTATATTTGAAACAACTTCTTTACCTGTACATAAAAAATTGCAAAGAAAAACTATTTCAACACAAAAGACTATGAAAAGAAAAATACTGAAACTAAAATAGACACAATTACAAAAAGGAGCCCAAATACTGAAGTAAAAGCCAAGAAATTCAAACACATTTTAATAGTAAAATTTTAAACAGGCAGTGATGTCCACCTCTCTTGACTTTAGGAAAAACAGCAGATTTTAACAAGATCTACAGTAAATGACATGAAGAGCACAGTATTTATCCATCCATCCATCCATCCATCCATCCATCCATCTATTCTTCTATCCTTCTATCCATCTATCTAAAGTAACTTGGTAATAAATAAATTGATAATTTGACTTGACAATAATGAATCCATAAAACAAGGGAGTGCAGAAAAAATGGGCTCATGCTTTAGTTTTCATGGGTAAAAATGATGCTAAGATTTATTTTACTAAAATCATAGACTGCACCTTTCCGAATGTCACTAAGTATATCCAATAATACCATCCTAAAACTGTTATTCTATGTAAACTGAAGTAAAAACACCAACATCGTTCTCATAAAACCCCATCAGCACAGATTTTTTTTTAAATTCCTAAAAGCAGAACTGACTCTTCGCCCATCATTGCTTCCCATTGCTCCTCCAACTTCCTGCACCTTCACCCTGCTCATCCTCCTTTCTGTCCTCCGCTCACTGCCTGGCACCCACCCCTGTTCTGTCATGGCTCCTTCAAGCCCCTCATCATTCTGTCATGCTGTCAAAATGACTTACACATGTGCAAAACAAGAGGAAGGGTGGTGATGTAATCGACGCCCTAAGAGAATAAGCCCCCCACAAAGCAGACTAATGTTCATCCACATTAGCGCCAACTTCCTCTTCATCATCACAGCTCATGCTGACAATAAACATCAAACACAGCTCGTAGAATCACAGTTACATGCTGCTGTCATGATTTCTCTGCCAAAGCATTTAACGGTGCATTAGTGAGCATAAATAGCAATGGGTGCAATTAGGAAAAGCCTCGTAATTCCATTATAATCGTAAATGCATCGATGCTATGAGTCTTATTGAGACTGAGGGTGACAGCACCATTCAGATACAACAGACTGATTCTGTTTAACAGCTTTGTGATACCAGTTGACCTCAACAGGACAGCATTGTCTTTGTCTTTACAGTGTGTGTGTGTGAGGATGGAAATTTGGTTTTCTAGTGAGTCTGCATGAATGCAATTGCTGACACAGAGATTACTGTCCTATTCCTGCAAAAGCTGACAGGATGGACTGCAAAGACCAACCGTCCACCGTCTCCTGAACAGCCCCATCTGTCCAACCAGGAATGTAATGCAGCTTTTCCACTGTCCAGTCTCACCATAACTTCCTTTGACTCTACTCGGTTCTGGTTCTACATGGTCCAGGTGTTTTTGATGAGTGCTGCCTGTACGTGGGATCATCATAGCCAGGCTGCTCAACAAGCATTTACCTTCAGATTATCCATATTATCCATGTGTAAAGCGAGCTTACCACCAATGGGTAAGTAAGTGAAATAAATTCACTGCACACACTATAGGCCACCTTCACTCCTCTGGCTGGATCTCACAAATCAAGTCGGTTTAGTTGAGCTTCCTCTGAATTCTGTCGTAACCCAGCAAGCCCAGAAACATCTGCACTTCCTCTAAGAACAAAGGTGTTGGTGTATGTGTTGCTATTTTAATGAAAATAGTCTAGATATTCTTTAAAAGTAAATAAAATGAATGCTGCTGGTGCAAGGTTTAAAAATGGTAGGTTTGATTCTTGTGAAGAAAGTCTTCTCATGATTACCATAACTCTCTGGTCAATCTATGGCCTCCAGTCTGCTGACGTCAAATCTTTAGCTCAACTCTGTTTGCTTGGAACCACAGCTGAGTAGGTCCTAACAACTGAGCTGAAGCGGGTGGGTTCATCCAATGGAACGACTCGAGCTTAGTCAAAGCCATAGAAAAAGGCCATAATGTGATGGTATGATGGCCCGATGGGCGTCTCTGTGTGAGAGAATCTGTTTCCCTCAGATTTACAGATTTAACAGTCAAAAAAAGGTTATTTGTCCATCCATTATCTTTTACCCACTTCTTCCATTTTGGGTC